AAATAAATAATTGTTTCACGCACTTAAAAAAGAAATACAATTACTGGCAGTATAAAGATATAAAATCCACGTCAGCTACTACTGGATAACCATTGTAATAATACCTAAAGGAAATTCAATGAGCTTATCCTCTACCAGCTTTTTTTATTTGATGTCGACCCCATAAATATCCAGTTCTATTTTTCTTATTTCTCGTCTTAATATACGTAAAAATCATGTCTTCCGAACAGTTTAATTTCTCTGATACGTAACAATTTGCATATTGTTCTATAATTAAACTCAATTGATGACGAGTCAAATTAATCTATCGTTCTCACTTCTCATTCATCTCTTAAAAAATCTAAACGATTTCACTAAATATTATTTCATGTTTTTCTTCTGTTCTTCAAATCAACGACTTGGCGAATTTTCTTGTGACGAAAATACCTTTGTTGAATTTTTTTTTTTATGAATTATTGAATGTGGCCATAGATATGAGTATTGAAAATTCAGCATGAACATTGATTATATGGGTCCCGAGACTACAAGCAATGCAGTAGTAATACAAGTCTATTCGTATATGCGAAGAAACGGATTGTGTCCGTCGTTTTATCGTTTTGATTTATCAAAGAGCCACCCGACGAATCACGGCTCTTCTCTTTAAGGATGGTCGACGCCGTGTCGTTTTGTTCTCGACGTCAACTCTTATGTCTTTCGGACGCCGTGCGTTCTATTTTCTCATGTTCAACCTTTTGTCAGTCAGACGCCTTCTTGTTTTGCTTATTTTTTTAGTCCTCTGTCTTCCGTTTTATTCACGTCAACTTTGTTTTATTAATATGCGGCAACAATGAGTTGAATATAAATCTAGATTGGAAACTTCCATTTTTCTTTCTCAATAATAAATTATCTCAGTTATTACTCCGCTGGATATTGTCTATATAGCTCAAGGACAACGTATAGAGACGCATTTTAATACCTTACCCTACAGCAAAATAAATTTTATTTCAAAGATAAAAACTATGCGAATTATAGATCAACAATGAAAGAACTATTGTTACTTTCACAATCTTTGCGGTGCTTTAAACTTTTAATGATTTAGACTACTTTCACTAAACTCTACTATTATACTATCTCTTTCGTTCCATAAACCAAATTACCAAAAAAATCCAAGTTACATTCATATCCAAATATATAAAGGGATGCATAGTCATTAACCTATTTTAAAGAATAACCAAATATATACGTTAAATATGTTTACAGCTTTATACATGTGGTGGACACTAGAAGTCTAGAACGAGTCCAAGTTGCATGGAACATGCTGCTTCCCTAAATATTGTACTATTCTTACTTTGTACAGCTGAAATATTAGTGTATATATAAATGTGTATACGTTACAGATTAGATTACTTATAAGTATCAATGATTTGGTTGATTCAATAAATTTTAATTGTAGTAGTATAGTCTTATCGAACGCTTACTCGCTTCGTTATGTCGCACGCGTTAATCAGCTTGATATCCTTTTCAAAAGGAAAAATAAAAAAATAAAAACACGATGAAGATCTCTATTTGCTTGTTATATATTGTAACTACATTTATAAAAACTTGTTCATCGGTGTAAATAATAGCTTAAAGATGTTGAGAATTATATGGCCGACCGAAGATAGACACAAACACGTACGGACAACAAGCGGAATATAAAAAAAAAAAGACCACGTGAATTATTACGCGGGAATTGTAAAAATACCATTTTTTTTATGTCCTTTGCAAAAATATTATTTAAAAATATTCATTTTTAAAAATACCACTAATTACAGATTTTTAAATTTTATATTTTAAAATTTTAAATATTAAAAAATATTTTGACCCCTAAACCCTCGTAACTAAATTTTAATAGAAAATAATTAACCCAAACATAAATAATATAAAAAAAATCATTTTTAAAAAGTGGTATTTTTGTAAAAATTTTAAAAATGAGGCATTTTTGTAAAGTGACACTTGAAAAGTAGTATTTTTAAAAATTTCTCACTTATAATTATATATATATAAAAAGAAAAAAATTTAGAAGGGTTAGAGAAAAAAATAATCTAGAAGGGAGAGAAGTATTTTCTTACACAAAATTACACAATACTACAAAGTTTTGCTGTTTAGAACTAATAAATCGTTATTTAACAATAAGCAAAAGGGTGTGATCCGATTAATCTTATAAGCTGAGAGAAAAGGGTGTGATCTAAAATCTAGATTCATAAGTTACATTCTTTAATGTGTAAAGGTTAAGTTTGATTTTTCTTTGACAATAATTTAATCGGATTACTAAATCTAACAATTAAAATACCAAGTCGACAAAAAGAAGAAAAAAAAAA